CACATAAAGATAAACCACATTTACACACCATTCAAAAGAGACAATAAGAAAGCTAAGAAGGAAATCAAAAACATATCCTCTCCAGCAGCCTACACCCAGATAAGCAGGAATCAACACCAGAGAAACAATCAAGCAGAAAACAATACCCTACTCAAGGAACTACTAAGGAGAAAGCCACACACCCACCAACACTGGCAAGGCAAGTTACTGTATATAAACAAGGAGCAAACCCCACACTCACTAGCACTGATGATGTTACCTAGACAGGTAATGAAACGTCAGCCAGCAAACAACCAAGTTCAGAGACCACCAAGGATTCCACAGTTCGACCCTGCGCTACATATATTCTCTTCTATTGGTGTCCATATCATATTACTTTTTGTCTCTTTGTATTGTTTTTTCTAGCAAAACAATACTGTGAGTTAGGTATGTCCGAAGGAGCATGACAGACCCAAAGTCATCAGCAAGTTCCATGTCCAAGGGTGACTCAAACTCAATCCAAAACATTAACTACCATACTGTAAAACAAAACAAAACTGTATTAATATGCAGTTTTGTACACATATCAGTTTGGTTCCTTTTAAAAGATATTTTCACCTCTGGGAAGAAAGGTACCCAACTACCTTATAAAAACAGTAACGAGAAACAAAATAATATATTGGTAAGTTAAAAACAACTGCAAAGAACATACACACACATAAGTGTGTGAACTCATCAGGAAAGTTAAAGAGGCAAATCGAACACTTGTGTGAAAAGGAATACCTTAACTTCCCTTAAAGGAGGTGATATGCTAACCTCTTGGAACAGGAAGGGCACATTTAGAAAAATGCTACCAAGAAAATGCTGTCATGGTTTAAAAAAAAAAAATACATGCATACATTAACCCAAATGTACATGCAAGATAGATACAATAGTTCTTGTTCAAACAATCAGTTGAAGCTTCTAAGTGAATCAGCTAAACCCCTTTTTAGCTGCTTTCCAGAATGTGTGAAGGCCTGCAACTTTACAAGGTCACAGTCACAGCTTGGCCCTATTCTCCCTGATTTCTATACTTTTAGCTGAGAGATTTGAAGAGGACTTATACTAGATTTGGGCATGAAGGTCATTCTGTGCGTTGGCATGAGTTTTAAAGAGGCACCCCTCTTTTGTGTTGGCGGGATCATTTTAGCTTAGGGATCAGTGAATAGCTTCCATGCTGACTCCAAACGAAAATGCTTTCTTTGTTGTTCTTAAAAAACAAAAACATTCAAATATAGAACAATAGCAAAAGCACAGGTGTCACCATAACATGGGGGGAAGAGGCATTCCGAATCCTAAAATAATGACCATTTTTAGATTACCTTTTCATTAACACAGTAAGCTGTTTTTATAAATCTCAAATTTTCCTGTATTAAGACATCACTTGAATCGCTTCTATTTAATTTCATTTATTATATTTCTTATAGCCATTCCATTGGACTCTGGATGGCTTACAAAATCCAGAAGAAACTATATATATGAAAACAATGCTTCTATGGTTTTCCAGTGTGTGTAGGGGAAACTTATCTGTTAATAATGCCGATATCTAGGTTTCACTATTTCTTATAAATATAAATAATACAGAACAAAACGTAGGATTCTCTGGCAATTGGTTCTCTCTCTCTCTCTCTCTCTCTCTCTCTCTCTCTCCCTCTCCCTGTTTTGTTTTGTTTTAGCATTGTGACAGATTCTGAAATCTGGAAATCTTGTGGGTTATGGCAGGGCTTTATTTCTTCTGCAAATTTCCCAGTTTTACACCTCCCCTACCTCCAACATTTTAATTAGGACTGGGTGCCATGGCGATAGAAGCAGTACAGTCAATAAAAACCCTTTGTGTGTGTGTGGTCATTGGGATCTGAAGATGTAATACTGTCAGGAGTCTGAATTCCTTTCATGTCAACTAATCCTAACTCATGTTTTTGGAAGCAATTGCTCAGAGGAAGGCAGGATGCTTGCTATTAACAAGGGTGGGTTTAAAAAAAAAAAGCTAATTCTTCCTGTGAATTTTAATCAGTATCCATATGAAAAAGATGTAGCGCACATTTCCCATCTCTCTATTATTTTCTGTTTGTCTAACATCTGCCTGTTCATAAGTGGCAGTAATAATGAATTCATCATTTTGAAACTTTGTAGAGAAAACGATCAAGCGCTTTTTAAAAAAGAAAAATAACAGTAAGACACTCTCTTCTTTAATGTTGTCCATTAAAAGCTCATTTAACAAGGTAAAAATAACTAAGAAACCATCTGTACATTAAAGAAAGAGTGTCATTATTTTCAGGAATATTCATTCCCGATGCAAATTTGCTCCCTGTTTTATGAAAAGTTAACATCCAAAGTACGTGCAAGGCTGAATTCCTAGAAAGTTATGTGCAAGAGTGCAGGAGGATCATATAAACAGACATGGCTCTGGAAATTCCATGGCTGTTGCTTGCATGACTAAAAAGGTGAACACATTTCGTTATTATGGACACATTTCTGAGTGATATGAGTCAAGGACTTTACCAGCCAATAACCTGTGTAAAAACAGAAGAGGAAACAAAATAACAAAACAACCAGATAAGGGGACAGTTGGGAGATAAGCACCAGCGTTGGAAGCCTGAAAGTGAGGCAAAATGGTAGAGCGGTTAAGATCAGGAGAAACCAAAATTCAGGTCTGCCATTAACCATGGAATCTCAGTGGGCAACTTTGGGTCAGTCACTCTCTCACAGCCCAATCTATCTTACAGACTTGTAGTTATATAGAGGGAAAGAATGGAGGAGGCTGTGGTGTGTACATTGTCTTGGGCTCTTATGGAAAAGCAGGATATAAATCTAACACAATAAACAAAGCAGTGAATGAACAAGCAAGCAGGAAAAATCATACAGCAACTTGGCCTTTATTCAGCCAAGAATGTGAGAACCAGGGTAAGTCAGTACTGTAACTGATGAAGTTGGCTCTAACAGTAAAGACACAGCTGCAACACACAGTTTCTTCTTCTTCTTCTTCTTCTTCTTCTTCTTCTTCTTCTTCTTCTTCTTCTTCTTCTTCTTCTTCTTCCTAGCAACATTCCTCAAGTTTAATAATACTTACTTCCTCGTTACTCTCAGTTGCCCCAGCATCTCATCTTGTCTTATCTTCTCTTCCTTCAAAAACATGGAAGCTTTCCACACACTGCATTACAAGCTTCTTTTGAAAACAGCCTTTCCACCCCAAACCTGATTCCAGTTTCCAGCCCACTCAGTATTATTCTGGAGTGACTCTTTTAAATCTTCTTGGAAATGAGGATGTTATAAAGGCAGGATATGTTTACATGCAGGGAGCTGCCAGACATTCAGCGCTAGCTCATTTTAACCAACATCACAGTACAGAAATTGAACAGATGTATTGTTATAACTTTATGAAGAAGTCTATCTATCTATGTGATCATTAAGAGTCAACAATAACTTGATGGCACGTAATCAACCAATCAATCAATGATTATAGCTACAGATCCTTGTTGGATCCTCACCTCATCTGGAAGTCCCATAAATTACAGAAGTGACTGTATGAACTCACTGAAAGTATGTGATAGAATTTTGCAAACATAAAGTCTCAGTCTATAGACAAAATAATTCAGCTATTCAGATAAGATGGGTTTGTACCATAAGCTGGAAGAAATCTAGCTCTTTCACTCTTTTAAGCAAACAGATTATAATTCATGGGGTTTAGCTAATGTTTTTTAAGTGCTACCCTAGAAGAAAATAACACCTTCATAAGAAAGTGGATGTCATTTCCCTTAAGGTGGAATCCTACACTGAGCTGAGAGACATTAGGATAGCAGATTTCCAGTGTCAGGGAAGCACACATTCAAATCTCATGTACATTCCATCAGCTCCAGCAAAGAACAGAACTGGAGCTCACAAAACCAGACGACTTCCTTTTCTGACTTTGAGCTCACCTATCAACATCCATGAATAGGACTATTGAAAGTTGGAGCCACAGGAAAGTAAATTCAGCAGCCTGTCCTGTGTTTCTGAGGCAACCATAACACACAAACAGCAGTGAATGCCAAACTCCATCTATTGTAGTGAACCAAACTGCACTGTAAATAATAAAGATGTATTCAAAGCCCCCAGATCTTACCCTGGCATGAAAAGAAAACGTTTGCAATGTGTACTTTTGTTAGCCTTGCTCGGTTCTTTTCTTTTGGCTAAGGCAGAGCTATTTGGTTAAATGTTTGTACGTCCTTTGAAACCGAAATATATTTTTCCTCAGCAGGCATAATTTTATTTTTGCATGCTTCCTAGGTTGTAAATGTTAAAAGAGATTTGAAAACATGGCTTGGGCATTCACAGTAGCTTTGAAGGTTAGAAAAGTTATGCAGATTTTAGGTGCAATATCTTTCTTTGAGGGAGGGTTAAAAAAAAAAACCTTGATCTGGCAGGGGAGATACAATGATTGCAAAGTTGAGTTTCCAAGGGTGAGGCTCATCCATTACACTCTGGGTGTGCTAACCCCTGCAATTTCCTTAAACGCAGGAAACTTGAGTGCATAATTTGTGGCAATGGGGGACCATATTTGTGCTTTTCCCTCAAAAAGAAAGAGGGGAGGGGGAAGAGATGGAAAATACCAAAGTACCTTGGTGAACTTTATTTATAAAAACTTTGTGTACCCAAAAACCCTCACTGGACATTTAAAATCAGATTCTTGCGATTGAAAGATTATCCATTGGAACAACAACAACATTCTCCAATATACAGGATATAGCTATCTGCAGATCATGTCTTGAAATTATTTGGACGTATAAATTGGAGATGCCATTTCCTGTAAGATTTCTAGGAGCATCAGAAATTCTTCAATAATACTTTGGAGGATGGCTTATCGTTATTAGATTCTGTAAGGGATTTTAAAGGCTAATATTGACAAAATGGCAAAAGAATGGTCGTCATGGAGTCTAAATTAAAAAAAAAAAAATCATGAGAAAGCCAAGGTCAAATATCTACTTGTATCACTTTGACTGCTCCCCCCACCCCACCCCACCCCAGGAAATGCACATCTTTGCTGGTTATTACTGAACTGTCCTTGTTCAGACAGTGCAATATTGATATCTCAGTTACTGTTAAAAGTTAGCTGTTCATTCTCTGTTCTGGTTCTCAGCAACAGCTTGTTTCAGATCCAAGATGAATATAAATGATTTAGCAAAAGTTTTAACCATTTTCTTTTTCTTTACACAGTTGCTCCTAGATACTTGAGTATATTATGCAAAAATAGCCATGGTAAGTTGTAAAGTTGTAATCACTTACAAAGGTATCCATATGTTTCAAGCATCCATGCAATGTCATGATGCATGCAGAAAAGAGTGGCTGTAATGGCATGTGAGAATTACTTGGGGAGTTGGGGGGAAGAGATGCTACCTAGGGAGGGTCAGATAAGAGAGGGCAGCTGCATAATGGGTGGAGCAAGAGGCTCAGAAGGGACCCTCCCTAGCTTTTCAGGCTGTAAAGAAGACTGCAGGAGATTTGTACTTTCAGATTTGCAAGATTCTGTTAACATAGCCTTATAATAAAGTAGAATTAGCTCATCTTGTCATGTTTCCTGTCTGGTCTACCTGGGAAAGCTGACATCAATCTTGCAAGTCTGAAAGTACAAATTCTCCTGCTGCCTTCTTTACAGATCAAGTAGCTAGGGAGGGTCCCTGCTGAGCCTTTTGCTCCACCCGCTATCCAGCTGTGGGCTATGTCCTCTCTTATCTATCTGTTCCCTATACAGCATCTCTTCTCCCAAAGTCTGTCTCACATACCAGTACAGTGGTCTTGTATTGCAATGTTGTGGTACACTGCTTATATCATTCTGACCTCTTTGATTCCACCGGCAGACTCCGCTGTGTGTGACCGTGATCAGTTCCCCAATGAGCAAGAGGTTAGACGTGATAGCTCTTTCTAACTCTGTTTATTTGAAATACAAAGACAAAAATGATGCAGATTTCAAATATATATGACATCTGACAATGTTAAAAGTAGATGCAAACCCATCACAAAGACATTTCTCTTTTCTTTCTTGAAAGTTGTGAAATAGGCTATGAAATCAGACATAGAAAAAGAGGGAGGGAAAAAAAATGAACAGGAAAAATAATGTCAACAACTATGCAGTTACAGGTTACGATTCTGAGATAATGCAAGTTTACAAAATTGCAACAGCTCTAATACTCCAGTCCAACATAAATGCTACAGCAGAGTTTCCAAGTTCCAAACAAGCTCTGAAATTGCATTCTCACCTTCTTACTATTCCTTATAAGCCACAAAGACACCATTTGCCCAGCTTCCAATTGGCTATACCCAGACGTTCACAACCTACCCAGCTATCCCCAAAGATGGGAACTATCACTGCTCTGTAATAGAAATAAATAATATAATCCATAAGATGGCACCATTCAGATGCTCAACCTACTTGCATGCTTTATCAGACCTTAGTGTATATATATTCTCCCTACCAAGCTCAGATGCTTGCAAAAACATACAATAGGCCAAATCTCCCTGAAAAATTAATTCTAGGTGCCTCTCTCTATATACTTTTAAGCCATAGAAATCAAAGAAATTGTAGTGCCTTGGGATGACACAACTACCCGATTCCTTAGACATATTTGACAATAATGGAAAATATAGTATTTTATAGAAATGTATATTTTTGACATACTGATTGACAATTGATGTCAAATAAAGAAAGGTTATTGAGTGAGAAATTGGCGAGACTAAAACAACAGTTGTCAGTTTTACTTGCTGAAATCTTGCAGACAGGAAACAGTTTTCTAATGCAGATGGACAGCTATTCTAACATTTGGTTGTACTCTCCATAATAGACACATTTTTCTTAAGGATTGCACTTCACATTTTAGCTCAATTAAAGCAAAATCAGAGTCATGTAATATACCACCGCAGAAATATTATTAAGCAGTTTTTTTTAAGAAGCGTGTTCATTTATTGTGCATGCAAAAAACCACAATAAGTGGAGATGTTCCAAATGTCCTTGTTTGGTGCAATTCACCTCTTAAAAACTTTATTCAAAATACTGACAGAACCCTTCAAATTCACATTTTCTCCTAAGGCAAAAACCCACAGTCAGTTCCAACATAAACTGGTTGCCTTTCTGCTGTTTGCCTTCTTCCTGAAGGCTAGCAGTCTATTTTCAGAACATTTATCCTCCAAGGGCAACATCTTTGCAACACTGATCTCAGCTTTTGTTCCGTATCTTGTGAACAACTTGGCAAGGTGCACATTATGCAGTTGTTCCATTCCAGGGAGATTCAATAATAATAGCTCAAATTTGTACTGGCAGAAGGAGGAGATGGAGAGAGAAAGGCAAGGGAAGATCATCGCTGTTGGCCACTTTTCCCAATCATCCCATTCTTTAGATCAGGATTGGAGACTTATGACCCCCAATGTATTGTTGAACCAAAACTTCCAGCTGCTATAACCTGTGGAGTGTTGGTGGTAACCAAAAGTTCATTACCTTGTTTTACAGCAGGATGTTTTTGTATCCTCACAGAAACATTCTTTTTGACATTTTCTTGTCTCCAAGGGTGGGAGGAATAGTTGAGGAAATATCCAAGAGGGATAAAATAACACTGGGAGTTATCTCACTTCCTCCTCAGATTTCAATGAAGTAGGCTTACCAAGAAATGTCAAACTAGTTTTTGTATATCTAATGAGCTTTTTGGTTGCACCAGAATCTTCAGACATACTATACAAGTTGGCCTTCTTCTGTTAATCCAATAATGTCACAATATATTTTTTTTACCATGCCACATATGCATTCTATTTTGAGTTTATTTTTGTGTTTTAAAAGCCTGCATTTGCTTTTATTTTCTTTTTTCTTTTTTTTTTCTTTCTTTTGTTTTTATAGTTCAGCAGCTATACTGAGTTAATGCATTGGAACTGTTTATTTTCTTTTAACAAGCTCACAGAGGAGATTGTATTGCAAGATTTAAAAGGTCTCTGGTGAGTATTTATAGATTTTTTTTTCTGAGAAAAAAATGACCAAAAGAACAATGCAGATATGTATTATACATTGTTGTTCACTGTGAAATTCTAATTTCAAGTGTGTTTTAAACAAGACAGAATCCTTGAAGAAATTATTTGGAGTTGGATTGTTGAGACGACAAAAGGCAAAATCAGTTTTGGTAGGTAAAATCAAAATATATGTTAATTAGAAAGTATTTATTTTGGAATATTGGTCTTCTGATACAAATCTTACCCTCTGAAATACAAATGGCAGAAGGGCAGAAACTGGAAGTAGCACTTTCTCCCACATCTAGTATTCAAACATCTCATCCTGTTCATGAAGAAATTTAAAAATTTTGGAAGCTCTTATAAAAAGCAAACAAACGTGAAAATAGCTTTATCCATCTGCAACTGTAAAATTCAGGAACGGACCACATATTTGGTTGCAATTGGATTGTTATAGATGGAAGTCAACCAGCAATAAAAGTTTGCAAATCTAAAATGTGGTAATAAATGCTGTTGAATTTGCAGCAAGGCTTTGCAGCAGCTAACCCTACATATATAGTGGGTTAGATCCAATGCTCTGGAAATAACTCAGTCTGTTCCAGATTAATGCAAGTCTAGCTTACCTTGATTTTTCTTCATTATCGAACTTAGTTTGGAGCAATGTGAAGTCTTATCTTGCTGGGAGGATTCTCACTTTAACATTTAAACAAACAAACAGAAAATCTCTTGCAAGGTATACGTGTGTTTCTTTTCTCTGTTCTTTAACTGGCAAAGTAGAAATTGGTTTCTGTCCCATCTCTCATGGGCAATCAAACTGGAACCGCTTGAAACAAACAAACTCCAGAGATATGACTGTACAGGCCTACTAGCTCCTAGTTCCAAGACAGACATGGTGGACTCTTGTCATTTGTATGAGGGTGTATGAAGGATTGTCATTCCTCTACCAGAATATATGTGGATGTTTTCCTAACTGCTTTTTCAAATAAAAATAACCTTGATCCTGTCCCAAACAGGGTGACAACCTTCTCCTGACTTGTAAGGATGCATATTTTGACTGGTCATGTTCTACAATCTGTTTGATTTTGACATTATCAGGCACTTGGCCAGATAAGTTTCTTTTGCATACCCCAAACTTCCAGTCCTCTTCCCTAAACACAGTTTGACAGATACCTCAACCATACTCACCCCACCCTTAATCACTCTGGTCATTCCCATGTTAAGTTTATCTAATTCACTTCATCATTGAATTTTTCAATTTTACTTCACACTGAGTACTGTGAAAAATGATTGAGATTTCTAATTCCATTTTCTCAGTCCCAGAAATATTACTTTGTGCAGAGTTTCCTTACAAGCAAGCCGATTTAAAACAGTTAAGTGTGTGGTGTCAAATCTTCTCAAGCTGAAGCTCAATGAAATCCCTGCTCAGCTTCTTTAAGGTTGCTGAAATTGAGAGAATCTCAAGAAGTGCCATAGAAAAACATTTTACCGTAAAGAACTGCAAGAGCTTAAGGCATTTCCAGTTAAGATCACCCCCTTTAGAGAGGCAACTCAGTTATGAATAATTGAAAACAAAACAAAACAAAACAAAAA